AATCGTGCACCATGCATCTTTTGCCGCACTCGCACCTAGAGACATAAAGGGGTTGTTGATACATTTGTTAAAGCGTAAAGAGAAACCTTGGTTTTATGGAAATATTTGCTATTGGTTATTTTTAAGCACAGAAAATAACTAGAATGCGCCCGTTATTTATATGCAAGATTTCACACAAAACGTAGTATTATACCGCACTATATATATTAAATTTTTCTGAAACGAAACAGCTTTTGCACAGTCGGTTCAACTTTTTTCAGACCGACAAAACAACAGGCAAAACGTAGTATTGTACCGCACTATACATATTAAATTTTTTTGAGACGAAATAGCTTTTGCGCAGTCGGTTCAGCTTTTTTCAGACCGATAAGACAATATACAAAATGTAGTATTGTACCGCGCTATACATATTAAATTTTTCTAAGGCGAAATAGCTTTTGCATAGTCGGTTCAGCTTTTTTCAGACCGACAAGACAACACACAAAATATAGTATTGTACCACGCTATACATATTAAATTTTTCTGAGATGAAATAGCTTTTACGCAGTCAGTTCAGCTTTTTTCAGACCAATAAGACAATACACAAAATGTAGTATTGTACCACGCTATACATATTAAATTTTTCCTATTGATTATTATCCTTTATTTTCTTGTATGTTGCTTTAGTTATTTTATTCGATTCCTTTTTTAAGACAACGACCATTTTAAAAAGCAAATTTTCAAGAAGGATAATAAAGGATGTCTTGATTTTATATTTTTCTTTTAATTTTTATATATGTTGCTTTAGTTATGGTTGTTGTGCTTTTATCTCTTCGAATATTATGTTATGAAATTTCAATCTTCAGATTGGTCTTCTTTACTAATACCTATAAGTTGAATGTTTGAACTAACATATCATCATCCCAATTAAAAAGGTCATGTTAAAAAACAAGATGTAACAAGATTGTGGAACATAATTTTATTTGATAGATATTGCAACATACACAAGTACAGACACTTATTACAAAAAATAATACGAAAACAAAAGACTATGTGTATCCTTGATAGTTGGGCATATTCGACGAACTTGCATCAGGAGCTGGATTACCACCGCCATCTACACCAGCTGAAGGACATTTATGATGGTCGTGTCCTATTTGCGAGCATATGCCACATTACGCGCATAAACGGTGTCACCAACATCCATTTGGTTCCGTATATGCGTTCTCTTCTGCACTTGCAGCTTGCGCAAATAGTCCTTGTTACACACCATTTTAAAAGGTTTCGGCAGCCAATAATGCTCAGCACCCAATAGCTGCAACTGCCCACTATATGTGTTTACGTATGCAGCAACATTGTATTGCCTATCAATATAGTTGGTTGCCCCTAAACCAACTTGTTGAAAGCACTTCAAGGCATGTGCGCACGGCATGTGGTAGATGGTCCATTTCCCACATGAACACAACCTGCTGGCTTCATTCACCGTCTGTAGATTATTCCCCCGATGTCCGCGGATAGCGGCGCAAACTTCAAAAATACCCCGATCGTGATCGTACTGTAAAAATGAATGCCAATGTGTTCGCCTCCTGTACTTCTCAAATCTTCTCATCGGTATTGACATAAATTGAACACCCCTGTCCATCAATACCGATGCAGCTCTATGCCTTTTAATAAACCTCTCTGCAATCTGTTTGAATGTTATCCGGACCATGGCAGTGACAGGCAATCCACGTGCAGACTTCAACAAGCAGTTGAATGACTCCGACACATTTGTAGTCAGGGCTCCCCATCGTCTGCCACCATCAGCATGCAATGTCCACATGTGAAGCTCATGTCCCATCAGCCAAGTATAGGCTCGTGGATCTAACTGCCAGATCGCTTCCATGCACCTCGTGAATTTGCACTGCTGGTGCTCAATTGCATCCATCCACATTAAATCATGCAAGGACTTGTCGGGATATTTCTTCTGGAAATTTGCCTTCAGGTTCCTCACATTAATGGTGGTATGCATAGGGTTCCTGCCATTCAGGCAAATGCCGTACAGAACTTAAAATACCACCATGTCGATCAGATATTAGACAAATACCTGAACGCTGTTTGACAACGTACTGCTTCAAGTGGTTCAAAAAAAGCGTCCACGTCTCTTCGCTTTCATTGGCACAAATGGCAAAAACTAGTGGAAATATTTGTCCATTGGCATCTACTGCAACTGCAATCAAAAGCTTAATATCATACTTTCCATAGACATGAGTACCGTCTATGGAAATTACAGGACTACAGTGCACAAAATCATCAATTGATGGTTTAAATGACCAGAACACATAGTTGAAAATATATTCGGGTCTGTCCGGACTCCTCTCACACCTCCATTCAACAATAGTGGGGGTTAAAGTGTTGCAGTGCGGCCATGTACCTGGGAGAGATGAAAATGATTTATCTCAGTCACCATAGATAATTTCAAAGGCACGTTTGCGCCCGAGATATGCCTTTCTTTTGGTTATATTACACCCATACTCCTGGTGGACGGTTGTAATACACTCTTTAATCTTGAACCTAATGGACACTTCCAGGTATGGAATCAAGACAAGAGAAATCAAGTCTACATACAGGTTGAAGTGATTCTCATTGAATGTGTCCATTTCACATCTGTGGGTGCTAATATATTTACCCACTTTCTACAACCCTGATTTCTTCTTACTGGCACGCAACATCCAGTGACAACCCATAAAGTCTTTACGACATACAACCTTATATACCTCTGTAGTTAACTCCCCTACCGTCATCTCACGGCACTCTCTTACGCTGTAAATTTTTACAGCCCTGATTAGGCGAGCTTTATCGGGGAAATACATGCCCTTTACCAGCACCGCTGGTCTAGACTCATCCCATATTACTGACCGAAATTCATCATCATCCCTTGTGAGGGCATCCACGTCCGTCATACTTGGCAAATTATCAAGGTAGGGAATATCCCGCTCATGAAATGGTATGTGGGACTCGTACACTCTTGGTCTATCGGGAGGTGGAGGAGCATGCTCCCTCGTCAGCTCAGGTTCGACATTCACTTCCTCCTCATCATCACCCTCATCAGGGAAGGGTGTGTCATTTCCAGACTCATCGACATTGTTATCATAATCACCATCATCTTTCTAACTCTGCACATCTACCAAATCACGAGTCAATACGTCATCTATGGGTAACTGTATGAGGTCAGGAACATCAAGTTGCTCGTTTTCACTGCACAAAAAGAACAAAATGATAAGCTACTCGACTAGATAAATACTTTACTTACAAGTCTTACTGTGTTGACGTTCCATGATGGATATTTTCTTATTGGTGATGACTCCCAAATGGACCACCGTGGTCCAAGACGCCAGAACTACGCATATTCCAACTAGCAGTGGGGTCATAACTTGTAAAATTCATATCCGGATGGTACCCCCTATGAAAAATATGAGTGTTAATACATATCCAATTCAAACAGAAAATAAACATCACTAAAGCGTAGAAAAATTGAAGTGTACCAGTCGTCTTGTGGATTATATAAAGTCAAAAAATTATTTTCTCGCTGCTCATTCGCCAGTGGTGACAAGTTTAAATCAATGCAAACTCTTTCATCAGGAATTTGTCCTTCAAAAACTGCTCCAGAATAACCACACGATGACTGGGGGTTATCCCTACTATGCACACCCTCATTACTGGAAACTCCTTCAACCTTGATGTACATTTCCAACAATTTTATTTCAATAAATTCCCTGTGTTCATCTGGGATTCGCAAAAAATCTCTAAAAGTTTCATCATCTTCGATGTTAAACTCAGAATAATAAGCAAACCCCTACAGAGTCACATAATACGGAAATCTACCGGTTACTTTAAGGTTCACCGAACGTTTCCTCACACTAATATTTTTATATAACAATGATACCAATTTATCGTACTCCATTGTAAGCGGCAATTTAACATGACACTGTGGAGGTGAACTAGACCTCACAGAATTATTCTCCATTACAACCTCCCCCTCCCCCACAATATAATGAAACCCTTATTTTTGGCTCTTCAGACATTATAAAAAAATGCTTGATAACAAGAAGAGAAGTATGAACGGAAGTTTGAAGGAAAGTTTTGAATGGATTTTCATAAAATCCTAACGTCTTTAAATAAGGCAAATCCTAGCTTGGGGTGCAGAATTTTTTTTATATAAAATGCAGTATAATACCACACTTTATGTATTTGGATTATTGTTATGTCAGTTATCCGCATAACACTTATTGGTGGGCCCAAAAATGAAGTATACTGTACTTTAGTAAAATGCAGTATTACATGAAAAAAGGAAATATTTATGTTAGTTATCCGCAGAACACTTATTGGTGGGCCCAAAAATAAAGTAAAACGCAGTATTATATTGCGTTTTACATAAAAAAACGAATTATTAAGTAAAACGCAGTATTATACTGCACTTTACGTTAACGGCTAAAATTCCTTTAACATAAAGCGCAGTATAACATTGCGTTTTAAATACAAATATAACTCTCTTTTATTATAGTCGTAGAAATGTAATTAGAGTCCAAAAACTTGCCATTTTGGTTTCGGAGTCTTATGATTATAACTTATACTAGTCTATAGAAAATAAAAACATACTATACCATAAAGCAAATTATTGCTTAATTATGACTTGAGCACTTTCTACTTTTTCATCCAATTATTGGAAATATCTAGGAAAGAAACGAAACAATAGTACAAAGTACAAATTAACTGAAAAGACAAGATGGTTAAGATTTTACCTCGTGACAAATATGAACCGTTGATCTTCTTTTTCCTCGAAACCCCAGCTGATCCAACGCTTCAGAAACAAAAGAAGACTTTCTCCTCTGAAAATTATTACAAAGTCGTAACACATTTGACCGAAGCTTCGTTCGTAGAGACCTCAAGCACCAGAAATGAAACTTCCAATATGTAGCGACAAAATCATCTTTAGACGAATTCCTTATCTTCAATTCGTATATATATTTCCACTTCCCTATCCACTCTCCATTGGAAAATTCAGTCTACTCCTTCTACAGCTTCTCTCAATTTCATTATCTTTAATTTCTCAATTTTTGAAACTCTCAAGTTCATATATTGAACCTCTGTAATGGAATGTTTTGATGAATATTTTGCATTAGAAAAAATTAGAAACCATCTTTTTGGGGATTTCTCCCCGAAAACGTTGAAATTTGGGGCGGAATTAACGAGTAATAGGACTTGTAGTAATATTATGACGGAGAGTTCGAGCTCTCAATCGGAATCTGCTAGTTCAGACTCTCTTCCCTTTGATTTTCTCTCCGATTCATTCGATTTTGAAGCTGATTTCTTTCAATTTGGAGATGAAGTTTCAAATTCAAGCTCGGAATCGGCAAATTCAGTGCATAATTCAACCAATTTCATCATGCTCGAATTGGAGCCAACGATTTCAAGCTCCGATTACGAGAAACCTCAAGTAATCATTGACCTTACATCACCTAAGTTGAGTAACGTTAGTGATCGGAAACCTTCATTGAAAATTGATTTACCGCCAGTGAAGAAATTTGAGTGGATCGGTTTCTGTAATTCGACGACTCAGTCGAATTCAATCGTTTCGGTGACTATGCAACAAAAGCGGAAAACTGAAGAGAAGAGGCATTACAGAGGAGTGCGACAGCGGCCGTGGGGGAAGTACGCGGCGGAGATCCGAGATCCGACACGCCGTGGTGCTAGGGTTTGGCTTGGGACATTTAACACCGCAGTTGAAGCGGCGAAGGCTTACGATAGAGCCGCATTTAAGATGCGTGGAAGTAAGGCGATATTGAATTTTCCGTTGGAGGTGGGGAAGAACCTGTCGTATTCAAGCTCCGCTGTGGACGGCGGCGTGAAGCGGCGGAAAGAATCAGATGCATGTGGAGAAGAGAAGGGAGTGAAGAAAGTGGAGAGGTGCAAGGAAGAGGAATCATGACCATTAACTCCGTCAAGTTGGAACTTCCTTTGGGAACAGAATACTAACGGAATGCTTAACCTCCCGCCTTTATCACCGTTATCTCCTCACCCGCCATTGGGCTGTTCGCAGCTTATTCAAATCTGAGTGACTACACAGTACACAATACTTCTATTTTATGAATTTTGACGGAAAACATAAAATAAGAAAACAGCTATAGAAATGTATTGTATGCATCAAAATCAAACCAATTATATGATAAGTTTCTCGACTCTAGAAAGTAAATTGTTACGGTACTCACCTTAGAGTCCAACTAATCCTAATGCACGTTGAGAAGTCTCACTACGGGAAGCAAAACGCTATCTACCAATTGTTCTATGTTTGTATTATACGGAACAATAATTTGAACTTGGGTTTATGAAGAAAGTGCCAGCTTGTTCATGTTATTGTGTTAAATCTACTGCCTCAGTACGTACTGAGAATGTTGTCAATTGCTCTTCAACGCCGCAATCTAGTTGCATATGCGCGCTTGCTTTAAATTTGTTAGGTTTCTTGAGTTGCTTAGTACGGTGCAACCAAGTACTTCCTTCCTCCGTTCACTTTTAGTTTGTACGTTTTAATTTTTTAAGCTTTTTAAGAAATAATAAATGAAGTGTATAATCTACCATGATACTCATATTAATTGATGCATCTTTTATTGGATTTGAGAAAATGATATAAAATGAATAATAAATACTGCATGTATAACAGGAAAAAAAATTATTATCTCTTGATATGCGTAAAGTGACAAGTAAAAATGAAAATCTATTTTTAATATACCTGTCAAGTAAAAGTGAACGGAGGTTGTATTTGCTTATAAGTTCTTGGGAACAATAAAAATGATAAAGTAGAGAAGTTTAAATTAATTGAAAGCTAGCTATAAGTAAGTTTTAGTTTTTTTGTACAGGGTTCAGAACATTGTACACAGACTGTATTGAATAAGGAGTATTACTTGCCAATTTTCACAAAACTTAACCTTAAATGTATGATTCTAAATTGTAAAATCTTCTCTTCCGAAAATGCAGTGAATTCAAGATTCTTCCGTTTTTGTTGGCACTTTTGAAGCTTTCAAATTATTTTTACTTATCAAATAGACAAATACTACTGATTGTCATTAAACACTTGCAAAGTAGATAACAAAAATAATAAACACCAAAAAGTACTGAAAATTCATTTTCCCCCTTTTTTTCCTCCTTAGTGCAAGCGAATACTACTATCTACATTAAATACAGAGCGGCCCGACGAATTTTATAAGTAAAAATAGCGTGTGGTGTTTATTTTTTATCCACTAGTTCTAATGCCGAGCAAAAATAGTCACTACTCTATTAAAATTATTTGGAAAAGACAATGTTATCCTTTCTTCAATTCTTATATTCCCAAACTCTTGTTTTATTCGTTCAGAAGGAAAATTTGAGAGCGAAAATTTCAGAGGCAACATTCGCGTGCTCCTCAGTATCTGTATCGTCCTTGCATGCAAACCAACTGTACTTAATTTTTCTTCTTCGTCATCTTCTCTGCATTGAACGATCGAACTGGTATTTTTTTTTCTTTTATGCATTTTCGTTTTTGTATATGTGCAATTGCGATCAATGCTGTGTCAAGTATGTGAAATTTTAAAAATAATGATTATAAGTTGATTCAGTATCGAGTAAGTAGCGAATTTTTGTGAGGAAGTTATTCAAAAAATTTTGGTATTGAAATGTGTTTGTGGTTCAATCAATATATTTGATTATATAAGGACATTTCATAAAAATAGTCGTACGAATTCATAAGCTAACTGTGTTTATGAATTTTTTGTTAACTGTGTTCATAAAAGTTAAGGACCAAGTGTCATTAACTTTTGAACTTGGAACTCAAAGTTAAGGACTGAGTGTCCTTAACTTTTGAACTTGAAACTTGAAGTTCAGGACCAAGTGTCCTTAACTTTTCAACTTGAAACTATAAGTTAAGGACTGCCTGTTCTTAACTTTTTAACTTGTAACTCTAAGTTAAGGACCAAGTGTCCTTAACTTTTCAACTTGAAACTATAAGTTAAGGACTGCCTGTTCTTAACTTTTTAACTTGTAACTCTAAGTTAAGGACCAAGTGTCCTTAACTTTTGAACTTGTAAGTCAAAGTTCAGGACTAAGTGTCCTTAACCTTTGAACTTGGAATTCAAAGTTAAGGACCAAGTGTCCTTTACATTTGAACTTGAAACTTGAAATTCAGGACCAAGTGTCCATAACTTTTCAACTTGAAACTATAAGTTAAGGACTGCCTGTCCTTAACTTTTTAAGTTGAAACTTGAAGTTAAGGACCAAATGTCCTTAACTTTTGAAATTGAAAGTTGAAGTTCAGGACTTATTGTCCTTAACTTTTGAACTTGAAAGTTTAAGTTAAGGACTGCCTGTCCTTAATTTTTTAACTTGAAACTTGAAGTTCATGACCAAGTGCCCCAAACTTTTCAACTTGTAACTGTAAGTCCTAATCTTTTATGTTCTTTTTCCTTCTTTGTAGTGTGCTAATAGAAGGAGATAGTGTGTTCGACTTTGATGTTTGGCATAATTTAATGAGCTATTGGAAAGGAGATTTACAGTATACGGAAATAATAAAATGTTTTTTGTCGAACAGGAAGTGGAAGAAGTTGAGGGATGGTATTTTCGAAAAAAAATTCCGTTTACAAAGTGTGAAGTTCTGTGGTAAACTTATTCACTGTGTATTGCTTTCAGAAATTATAAATAATGACCCTAATTCGATGACATTCAAGGTTTTTGACCATAAAATTAAGTTTACACTTGAAGCATTTCATATAATTACTGGTTTGAAGTGTTCTTCTTCATTGGACATCAAAGGTTTGCATGAAAAAGAGAATAGGCTTTCGAAAGTCTATTTCCCCAGAAAGGATAGAGTTGATTTGGGTGATTTGTTTAATTTTATTACTAGTCACCCAAATGGTACATCTGCATCATTCGTAGGCAGCAATGATGATGCTGTGAAGTTGGCAATAATTTATTTTGTTGAATCTGTTTTGATGGGGAAGCGAAAGAATAGGAATGTGTCCGAGCAGATAATGAAAATTGTAGATGATGATGAACTCTGCTCTTCTTTCAACTGGGGCTCTCTTTGTTATGAAACGTTATTAAAATCATTGAAGAGTTGTTTGAAGCTCAATGACAATGATAGCTACACTATACTTGGCTTTCCTTTTGCTTTTTGTGTTTGGATTATGGAAGTATTGCCTATTTTCTAGGAAAAATAATTTGTGAACTTCTGAGAATGTGATTTTCCTCGGATGTTATGTTATTCGGAAATGAAATCTCCACAATATGATTCTCTGTTTAAAAAATACTTCCATAATGAAAATATAAGTTAATCTAATTACTAGCTATTTTTTTTGTTTATTTGTTTTAGTTCTAAAAACTTATGTTTTTTTGTTATATAATAGGTGTATAATTTGATCGAGGTGCACCATTTATTCCTATTGAAGAAGATACAGAGCCTGTTAGTGTGCATGAGCCAATTTCTCAAGATCAAAGCTCAATGCCTTCTTCCACATAATTTGATGAAGCCATGCTTAAGGAAATTGTTAAAGTAGATTTTCTGTCTTTGAATAGCATTAGTTTTTTATTTGATCGTTTTTTGCTTAAGAGACTTTTTTTTGTTTTTATGGTTTTTGATTTAGAGATTATCAGAGAAGTTTAAAAAGGATCTGCAGGCTGAAGTTACTAGAATAAATCAGAAAAAAAGATTCAAAATGATATCAAGGTAATATCATTAATTTCAGTTAGTCTAAGTTCAGGACCTTGTGCCCTTAACTTTTGAACTTGTAACTCAAAGTTAAGGACTGTCTGTCTTTAACTTTTTTACTTGTAAGTCTAAGTTCAAGACCATCTGTCCTAAACTTTTGAACTTGAAACTTGAAGTTCAGGACCATACTCCTTAACTTTTGAACTTGGAGCTCAAAGTTAAGGACTGCATGTCCTTAACTTTTGAACTTGAAACTTGAAATTAAGGACCTATTTTCTTTAAATTTGATCTTGTAACTATAAGTTAAGGACTGTCTGCCCTTAACTTTTGAACTTGAAACTTGAAGTTTAGGACCAAGTGTCCTTAACTTTTGAACTTGTAAGTCTAAGTTCAGGACCATCTGTCCTGAACTTTTGAATTTGAAACTTGAAGTCCAGGACCAAGTGTCCTTAACTTTTCAATTTGAAACTTGAAGTTCAGGACCTATTGTCCTTAACTTTTTAACATGTAATTCAAAGTTAAGGACTGCATGTACTTAACTTTTGAACTTGAAACGTGAAGTTTAGGACCAAGTGTCCTTAACTTTTGAACTTGTTACTCTAAGTTAAGGACTGCATGTCCTTAACTTTTTTACTTGTAACTTGAAGTTTAGGACTACCTGTCCTTAACTTTCTAACTTAGTTTATTTCACAGGATTTAAAGAAAACTCTAGGATCAAAGATTGATACTTTGTTGAAGATTTTTGTGAAACCTGATGAAAGAAACATAGAGAGAGAATCTAGTGTTCCAATTACTAAAGATGGAGTTGATGATCAGTGTGATAGTATAGAACCTACTATTACAATTAACAAAGATGCATGTGGTGATAAATGTGATGATACGGATGTGCATGCAGAAGTTCAGTATGAAAGCGATTATAGAGATGCACATGTAGATGATGAAACTGATATTGACACTGAAATTGGGAAAGATTAGTTATAGATTTTGAATTTTTTGTCATTGAAATTTATATTCAATAGCGTAATACATATAAACTTTTTTGTTATTATAAATATATGTAGAATCTATTGATGGAGTGGAAGTTTAAGATGTAGTAGAATGTCAAGACCAGGAAAATCTAGAAGAGATAGGAGTAATAGAAAAAATTTGTAAATGTGGGGTGCAATCTCAGGATTTAGAAAGTCCATTAGGAACAAGTGTCAGTGAGATTGTATGCAAATGTTTAGAAGGAACATATGATATGTCTACACCTCTCTCATATAAAGAGAAATTTGGAGTTCAAAATTATGCCAATCAAGGTTAGATGGAATTTTCATGATATGTTGAATGTTAGTTTTAGTGAACTATTAGAATGTGTATTAATTGTAAATATTACAGAATCTTTTGAAGCTTCAAGGGAAGAATATGGAGTGGAGTATCAAGAGAAAAGTGGAGTACAATCTCAAAACTTAGAAAATACCCAAGGAACAAGCATAAGTGAGATTGTTTCCAAATGCATAGATGGAACATGTGATCTCTCTACACCTCGCTCTCTTACCGACAATATTGAAAGCCAAGAAAATGATAGTGAAGATAATGATTTATGTCACGACCCTAAACCCAGACCCGATTGTGATGGCGCCTCTCGTGAAGACAAGGCCAACCAACACAATATGTGACGACCCAGCCAGTCGTCTCATGA